GTTTTAATGTCACCTTTATACCATCTATATCATTTCTGGTATAGGTATTTTTAAATGTTTATACAGTAGTGTACTGTATATTCTAATAAAGAGAAAAGAGAAAATCAGCTCTAATACACATTATTTAGGCATACTGGTCAGAACCCGTCGTAAGTCCGAGTCGTTGGTAAACAAGTACGTCATTAAGTGAAGAGAGGCTGTACAAGGACATAATGGTGAAACGTCTACAAGTAAAGATACCCAGTACTCAGTGGTCAGTCGTCACGTGAGGTCACAGACCCTGAGCTGCCTTGGGGATTAGTGTGGACGGTTACAAAGCATGGCTTGCTTCTGCAGTGTTTTAAAAATTGGGGTTGGAGAGTTGAAGGAGGAGGTCTTGCTTCTCCAGGAGGAGATTAGGAGGCTGAAGGTCCACCTCAATGGGGCTGGGAGAGAGTGTGAGGTGGCTGGAGTTGTGGGGAATGAGGCTTCTAGCAGCGAGGTGCAGTCTGTCTCTCGCTGTGAGGAGGCTGTAGTTGGGGTGGCAGCAACGGCTACCAGCAGTGAGGTGCAGCCCAGCACCTGCTACAAGTGGCGAGTAGTTCACAGTAATGGAAGGCGCATCAGAGTAAGGAAAGTTAAGAGTGAAGATCTGAAGGTAGGAAATCGCTTCTCTGTTCTTCAGGATGAATGTACTTCAGTGGCCAGTGAAGGTAAGGGTACTACTGCCCCTGCTAATGGAGGTAAGCGCATTCTTGTGGTTGGTGACTCTCAGGTAAGATACATTGACCGTGCTTTTTGTAATAGGAATAAGAAGATGAGAGATAGAGTGTGCTTCCCTGGAGCTGGTGTTGGGGACATTGTCAACAGGCTGGATAATATCTGTCAGGTAATGGGAGCAAGCCCATTATCTGTCTCAGTGCTGGTGGAAATGATATTGGGAAGGGTAGGAGAGAAGAGCTGCTAGATAAGTACAGGTCAGCTATAGATTTCATTAAGTCTAAGGGAGGGATCCCAATCATATGTAGCATCTTGCCTAGAAGGGGAGTAGGAAATGAATGGTTGTCTAGGGCAATTGGTGTAAATTGCTGGCTAGACAGATACTGCAAGGAACATGCAATCCCATTCATTGACAACTGGAACAACTTTTATGGCAAACATGATATGTATGCAAGGGATGGGGTACATCTCTCTGGGGCTGGGGTGGTAGCACTTGCAGACTCGATTGAGAAGGCCATTGGTGAAATGCCTATGATTTTAAACTGATGGAAGATAGAGGTATGGGTGTGTGTGGGAAACAAGCAGGTTGCAACACTTGGGTTGGAAACAGTAAATGTATAAAAGGCATTCAGCATGAAGTTATAAATAAAGACAATAGATCAGGTCAGCAAACAAAGGGGGACAGCAGAGGGCAGCAAGGGACTAGCTCCTTAAGGTTTACTATACTAATAGCAGGAGTGTAAGAAATAAGATAGATGAGCTAAGATTAATTGCAAGTGCAGGAGACATAGATATTATTGCTATAACAGAGACCTGGCTCAATCTGAAAGATAGAGAGATGCCCTCTGAATGTCACATACAAGGCTATAAATTATTCCACACTGACAGGGTCAACAGGAAAGGTGGTGGAGTAGCGATGTATGTCAGAGACAATTTAAATTGTTGTGTTAGACAAGATATTAAATTAGAAGCGTCAGCCACTGAATCTGTTTGGTTACAGCTTCTCGAGGCCGAGAAAAACTAATTTTGGGTGTGATTTACAGGGCCCCAAATCTTGATAGGGAGTGCAGTAAACTTCTATGGGACGAAATTCGTAAGGCATCTACATACGAAAATGTTTGTGCTAATGGGAGATTTCAACTATAGACAGATTGACTGGAGCAATTTGACAGGAAATTTAGAGTCAGGTGACTTTCTTGATACGATCCAGGATTGTTTTTTAAAACAGTTTGTGACAGAGCCAACTAGGGGAAATAACCTCCTTGACTTGGTTCTTGCCAGTAGGGAAACACTAATTAATAATCTTGAGGTTAATGATGAGCTTGGGGAAAGTGATCACAAATCACTCAGTTTTTATATATCATGGAATTCCCCTAATAATGGCAATCAAGTCTCCGTCCCTGACTTTCGCTTGGCTGATTTCATAGGGCTGAAAAATTACTTAGGTGGGCTGAACTGGAATGACCTGACTAAGGGTCAGGTAGGGGGTGATGGTTGCCGATATGATGCTTTCCCGGGCATAGTTCTAGCTGCTCAGTCAAATTATGTTCCAAATAGGGAAATCAGATCAAACAAAAATGATCCTAAATGGATGAACAATAGATTAAAAAATCTGATTGGTCAAAAGAGAGGCATATATAGGCAAATCAAAAGAGGAGAGGGGCAATTGAGAAATCGATATATTCAGTTAAAGAGAGAAATAAAAAAGGGAATTAGAAAAGCAAAAAGAGATTATGAGGTTAAAGTTGCAAGAGAATCGAAGACTAACCCAAAAGGATTCTTTCAGGTATACAAAAGTAAGATCAGGGACAAGATAGGCCCACTCAAAAGTTCCTCGGGTCAGCTCACTGACAGTGATAAGGAAATGTGTAGAATTTTTAACACATACTTCCTCTCAGTTTTTACACAGGAGGATACCAGCGATATTCCAGTAATGATAAAATTATGTAGAACAGGACGATAATAAACTGTGTACTATTAGGGTCACAAGTGACATGGTCCTTAGGCAAATAGATAAATTAAAACCTAACAAATCCCCAGGCCCTGATGAACTGTATGCAAGGGTTCTAAAGGAATGTAAAGAGGAGCTTTAGCACACCTTTGGCTAATCTTTTCAACATATCACTACAAACTGGCATGGTGCCAGATAAGTGGAAAATGGCAAATGTGATACCTATTTTCAAAACAGGTGACAGGTCCTTAGCTTCGAACTATAGACCAATAAGCCTAACCTCCATAGTGGGAAAATTTATGGAATCAATAATTGCCGAGGCAGTTCGTAGCCACCTTGAAAAGCATAAATTAATCAACGAATCTCAGCATGGTTTTACAAAGGGGCGTTCCTGCCTTACGAATTTATTAACTTTTTTCACTAAGGTATTTGAGGAGGTAGATCATGGTAATGAATATGATATTGTGTATATGGACTTCAGTAAGGCTTTTGACAGGGTCCCACATCAGAGACTATTGAGGAAAATTAAAGCACATGGAATAGGAGGAGAAATTTTTTCCTGGATAGAGGCATGGTTGACAAATAGGCAGCAGAGAGTTTGCATAAATGGGGAGAAATCAGAGTGGGGAAGTGTCACGAGCGGTGTTCCACAGGGGTCAGTGTTGGGCCCCCTGCTGTTCACAATCTACATAAACGACATAGATGAGGGCATAAAGAGCGACATCGGCAAGTTTGCCGATGACACCAAAATAGGCCGTCGAATTCATTCTGACGAGGACATTCGAGCACTCCAGGAAGATTTGAATAGACTGATGCAGTGGTCGGAGAAGTGGCAGATGCAGTTTAATATAGACAAATGCAAAGTTCTAAATGTTGGACAGGACAATAATCATGCCACATATAAACTAAATAATGTAGATCTTAATATTACGGATTGCGAAAAAGATTTAGGAGTTCTGGTTAGCAGTAATCTGAAACCAAGACAACAGTGCATAAGTGTTCGCAATAAAGCTAATAGAATCCTTGGCTTCATATCAAGAAGCATAAATAATAGGAGTCCTCAGGTTGTTCTTCAACTCTATACATCCTTGGTTAGGCCTCATTTAGATTATGCTGCACAGTTTTGGTCACCTTATTACAGAATGGATATAAATTCTCTGGAAAATGTACAAAGGAGGATGACAAAGTTGATCCCATGTATCAGAAACCTTCCCTATGAGGATAGACTAAGGGCCCTGAATCTGCACTCTCTAGAAAGACGTAGAATTAGGGGGGGATATGATTGAGGTGTATAAATGGAAGACAGGAATAAATAAAGGGGATGTAAATAGTGTGCTGAAAATATCTAGCCTAGACAGGACTCGCAGCAATGGTTTTAAGTTGGAAAAATTCAGATTCAGGAAGGATATAGGAAAGTACTGGTTTGGTAATAGAGTTGTGGATGAGTGGAACAAACTCCCAAGTACCGTTATAGAGGCCAGAACGTTGTGTAGCTTTAAAAATAGGTTGGATAAATACATGAGTGGATGTGGGTGGGTGTGAGTTAGACCTGATAGCTTGTGCTACCAGATCGGTTGCCGTGTTCCTCCCTTAAGTCAATGTGACCTGACCTGACTAGGTTGGGTGCATTGGCTTAAGCCGGTAGGAGACTTGGACCTGCCTCGCATGGGCCAGTAGGCCTTCTGCAGTGTTCCTTCGTTCTTATGTTCTTATGTTCTTATGTTGCACATGCATCTAATTCTTCAACCTGTCAGCATTACACCTGTATATCCAATATTATTGTTACTAAAGATAATAATTTGCTGTTAAGGATATTTTTTTAGCATGCTGGCTGTGTCCCACTGAAGCAGGGTGACCTGAAAAAGAAACACTTTCACCATCAATCACACTATTACTGTCTTGCCAGAGGTGCATAATTAAAACATTTTAGATATCACTCTAAACGGTAAATATCCCACTGTACTTCCCACCTCCTGGACAAGTCTGGCTAACTAGTTTCCCTGAATCCTTTCATAAAATATTACCCTGCTCACACTCCAACAGCTCAACAAGTCCCAAAACCCATTCGTCTCTGCTCACTCCTGTCTAACATGCTCACACATGCCTGCTGTATGTCCAAGCCCCTTGTACACAAAACTTTCTTTAACCCCCACCCTCCATCCTCTTCTAGGATGACCCCTACCCCCACTTCCCTCCACTACAGCACATATTTATATGGGTGCATACAATACTACATATGAGAGAACAAATCATAAAACAAAATGCCTTGTGAAAACCAAGGGAAAATTATTTAAAGTTCTTAGTGAGGATTATAACCAAATTTATAAACACTCTAGACTCAGGAACTTACGAGAAGGTTTCTTGGGTTCATAGTAGTCTCCCTGCGTAATTTGTTTGACCAGGCGCTTGAAATTTGAGCCATCAAATGGCATGGCGCCATACACAAGCGTGTACAGTAACACCCCCAGTGACCAGCAGTCAACCTGCACATGGAGAAATTATCTATTTGAACATCAGGAAATAATATAATCACTGTAATTCAAATACAGTATCTTCACAAGTTTAACATCCAACATTAATTTAATCATAAATGTAAAGTGATGAATATTACCACTGAAGGCAAACTATATTGATCAACTTATCTATGAATGTATAAACATCTTAAACAGTATTTATACAACTAGCTTATGATAATACAGTACATACAGGCATAAAAGCACAGGAACAAAATTTAATTTAAACAATAAACAAGCAATTTATAAAGTAATAAAAGCTTCAAAACCCCTACTTCAGGTCCTGTGTAGGGGATGCCTTTCACAATCTCAGGAGATGCATACAGAGGAGAGCCACAAAATGTATCCAGCCGGTGTTTCTCATCAAATACATTTGAAAGACCAAAATCTGCAATCTGTGGATCAAAAACACACATCAAATTTTCTAGCCAGAATTAACAAACTATGGTAAATTCTTGGTGTATAAGACAATGATTATGTGTGAATGATGGTAAAAGTGTTGAATGATGGTGAAAGTGTTTCTTTATTTTTGGGTCACCCTGCCTTGGCGGGAGATGGCCGATGTGTTGAAAAACAAGTAAAGTTTGGAAGGTTTTGTGAAGAAGGAAATTAGAAGTGCGTGGTGATGAGAATAACAAAAATATGGCAATGAAGTATTGTACTGCATATTGGGCTAGAGGGAGGGATTATGAAGGCAGTGAATGTGTTAGATATTTAAGAGTGGAAGCATTGGCAGTTAGGGATATGAAACCATAGAACAGATGAGGGGAGAAAAAAAGTAGAGGACATGTTAAGACATTCGCGAAAGAAAGACTTCAGTCTACGGAGGCAAAAAAAAAAAGGAATGTACCAGAGTGTAGTGGCACTAACACTTTTACATGGGTGTGAGTTATGGGTTTTAAACACTGCAGTGAGGTGGAGGTTAGAGGCAATGTTTGAGAGGAATGTGTGATGTGAATATCATGCAGAGAATATGGAGTGTAGAAATAAAGACGATGGGGGAGGGTCACCAAGGGAATAATTCAGAGCACAGAGAAGGGGCTGTTAAGGTGGTTTGGCATGTAGAGAGGGATAGTTTGAAGAGGGAGTATACATTTTGGATGGAAGGTAGGAGGGGTTGACAATCCAGGAATAGTTGAAGGGAGGCTTTGAGTAGCAGGGGCTCGAGGATCCAGCAGTTTTTAATGGTGCTGTTGGAGTGCACACAAGGTAACACTGATGAAGGAATTCAGGAAAACCAGGAAGCCAGACTTGAGTCCTGAAGGTGGAAAGTATAGTACCTTCACTCTGAAGGAGGGGTAGGGATACTGCTGTCAGAGGGTAATATGAACTGTGATGTCATCACACTTCTGGGAAGACAACTACTGAATTTATGACGGTAAATGTTTTCTTTTTTTGGGTCACTCTACCCTGGCAGGAGATAGCCACTGATTTTTTTTTTTTTTCAACAAGTCAGCCGTCTCCCACCGAGGCAGGGTGACCCAAAGAGAAAGAAAATCCCCAAAAAGAAAAATACTTTCATCATCATTCACCACTTTCACCTCACTCACACATAATCACTGTTTTTGCAGAGGTGCCCAGAATACAACAGCTTAGAAGTATTTTTTTTTTTTTTCAACAAGTCGGCCGTCTCCCACCGAGGCAGGGTGACCCAAAAAAGAAAGAAAATCCCCAAAAAGAAAATACTTTTATCATTATTCACCACTTTCACCACACTCGCACATTATCACTGCTTTTGCAGAGGTGCTCAGAATACAACAGCTTAGAAGTATATTATTTTTTTTTTTTTTTATTATCACACCGGCCGATTCCCACCAAGGCAGGGTGGCCCGAAAAAGAAAAACTTTCACCATCATTCACTCCATCACTGTCTTGCCAGAAGGGTGCTTTACACTACAGTTTTTAAACTGCAACATTAACACCCCTCCTTCAGAGTGCAGGCACTGTACTTCCCATCTCCAGGACTCAAGTCCGGCCTGCCGGTTTCCCTGAATCCCTTCATAAATGTTACTTTGCTCACACTCCAACAGCACGTCAAGTATTAAAAACCATTTGTCTCCATTCACTCCTATCAAACACGCTCAAGCATGCCTGCTGGAAGTCCAAGCCCCTCGCACAACAAAACCTCCTTTACCCCCTCCCTCCAACCCTTCCTAGGCCGACCCCTACCCCGCCTTCCTTCCACTACAGACTGATACACTCTTGAAGTCATTCTGTTTCGCTCCATTCTCTCTACATGTCCGAACCACCTCAACAACCCTTCCTCAGCCTCTGGACAACAGTTTTGGTAATCCCGCACCTCCTCCTAACTTCCAAACTACGAATTCTCTGCATTATATTCACACCACACATTGCCCTCAGACATGACATCTCCACTGCCTCCAGCCTTCTCCTCGCTGCAACATTCATCACCCACGCTTCACACCCATATAAGAGCGTTGGTAAAACTATACTCTCATACATTCCCCTCTTTGCCTCCAAGGACAAAGTTCTTTGTCTCCACAGACTCCTAAGTGCACCACTCACTCTTTTTCCCTCATCAATTCTATGATTCACCTCATCTTTCATAGACCCATCCGCTGACACGTCCACTCCCAAATATCTGAATACGTTCACCTCCTCCATACTCTCTCCCTCCAATCTGATATTCAATCTTTCATCACCTAATCTTTTTGTTATCCTCATAACCTTACTCTTTCCTGTATTCACCTTTAATTTTCTTCTTTTGCACACCCTACCAAATTCATCCACCAATCTCTGCAACTTCTCTTCAGAATCTCTCAAGAGCACAGTGTCATCAGCAAAGAGCAGCTGTGACAACTCCCACTTTGTGTGTGATTCTTTATCTTTTAACTCCACGCCTCTTGCCAAGACCCTCGCATTTACTTCTCTTACAACCCCATCTATAAATATATTAAACAACCACGGTGACATCACACATCCTTGTCTAAGGCCTACTTTTACTGGGAAAAAATTTCCCTCTTTCCTACATACTCTAACTTGAGCCTCACTATCCTCGTAAAAACTCTTCACTGCTTTCAGTAACCTACCTCCTACACCATACACTTGCAACATCTGCCACATTGCCCCCCTATCCACCCTGTCATACGCCTTTTCCAAATCCATAAATGCCACAAAGACCTCTTTAGCCTTATCTAAATACTGTTCACTTATATGTTTCACTGTAAACACTGGTCCACACACCCCCTACCTTTCCTAAAGCCTCCTTGTTCATCTGCTATCCTATTCTCCGTCTTACTCTTAATTCTTTCAATTATAACTCTACCATACACTTTACCAGGTACACTCAACAGACTTATCCCCCTATAATTTTTGCACTCTCTTTTATCCCCTTTGCCTTTATACAAAGGAACTATGCATGCTCTCTGCCAATCCCTAGGTACCTTACCCTCTTCCATACATTTATTAAACAATTGCACCAACCACTCCAAAAACTATACCCCCACCTGCTTTTAACATTTCTATCTTTATCCCATCAATCCCGGCTGCCTTACCCCCTTTCATTTTACCTACTGCCTCACGAACTTCCCCACACTCACAACGGGCCCTCTTCCTCACTCCTACAAGATGTTATTCCTCCTTGCCCTATACACGAAATCACAGCTTCCCTATCTTCATCAACATTTAACAATTCCTCAAAATATTCCTTCCATCTTCCCAATACCTCTAACTCTCCATTTAATAACTCTCCTCTCCTATTTTTAACTGACAAATCCATTTGTTCTCTAGGCTTTCTTAACTTGTTAATCTCACTCCAAAACTTTTTCTTATTTTCAACAAAATTTGTTGATAACATCTCACCCACTCTCTCATTTGCTCTCTTTTTACATTGCTTCACCACTCTCTTAACTTCTCTCTTTTTCTCCATATACTCTTCCCTCCTTGCATCACTTCTACTTTGTAAAAACTTCTCATATGCTAACTTTTTCTCCCTTACTACTCTCTTTACATCATCATTCCACCAATCGCTCCTCTTCCCTCCTGCACCCACTTTCCTGTAACCACAAACTTCTGCTGAACACTCTAACACTACATTTTTAAACCTACCCCATACCTCTTCGACCCCATTGCCTATGCTCTCATTAGCCCATCTATCCTCCAATAGCTGTTTATATCTTACCCTAACTGCCTCCTCTTTTAGTTTATAACCTTCACCTCTCTCTTCCCTGATGCTTCTATTCTCCTTGTATCCCATCTACCTTTTACTCTCAGTGTAGCTACAACTAGAAAGTGATCTGATATATCTGTGGCCCCTCTATAAACATGTACATCCTGAAGTCTACTCAACAGTCTTTTATCTACCAATACATAATCCAACAAACTACTGTCATTTCGCCCTACATCATATCGTGTATACTTATTTATCCCCTTTTTCTTAAAATATGTATTACCTATAACTAAACCCCTTTCTATACAAAGTTCAATCAAAGGGCTCCCATTATCATTTACACCTGGCACCCCAAACTTACCTACCACACCCTCTCTAAAAGTTTCTCCTACTTTAGCATTCAAGTCCCCTACCACAATTACTCTCTCACTTGGTTCAAAGGCTCCTATACATTCACTTAACATCTCCCAAAATCTCTCTCTCTCCTCTGCATTCCTCTCTTCTCCAGGTGCATACACGCTTATTATGACCCACTTCTCGCATCCAACCTTTACTTTAATCCACATAATTCTTGAATTTACACATTCATATTCTCTTTTCTCCTTCCATAACTGATCATTTAACATTACTGCTACCCCTTCCTTTGCTCTAACTCTCTCAGATACTCCAGATTTAATCCCATTTATTTCCCCCCACTGAAACTCTCCTACCCCCTTCAGCTTTGTTTCGCTTAGGGCCAGGACATCCAACTTCTTAGAAGTATATACGTATAAAAATACACAATATATCTCTCCAAACTGCCAATATCCCAAACCCCTCCTTTAGAGTGCAGGCATTGTACTTCCCATTTTCAGGACTCAAGTCCGGTTATATAAAATTTTATTTTATAGTCAATGATACATGTATTAAAAAAAAAAAATGAATGTTAAGTACTAAACCCATGTAGGCTCAGCACAAAGATAAGCTGAAGCTCACTCCTTCATTTACCAATTGTGAAACAGTTACATTATCCAAATTTTACTGATACTGAATGTGATATACAAAGTAACCTGAAAAATCTTACTTTGTTTGACTATTAATTTTTTTTACAATTAACAGTAAAAGCTATAAATATCAATAAATAATTTTTAAGAAAATTGATATATTCTGAACACTTGTAAAAAACTAATCAGAAGCTTACCTTGGCATTACCGTTCAAGTCCAATAAGATATTTTCTAATTTAAGATCTCTGTGACAGATTTTGTGCTGTAAAGAACAAAAATTATATCATTAAAAATTTGGTTTAATAATAGATAACAAATCAAATACCAAAAGGAGTATAATTGATAAGTAAAGCTTTTATTACTGGAAGGAAGATTCCTTTGTAATTTAGCTACAGAAATAATATTACACAAGTTTTTTTTTTTTTTTTTTTTTTTTTCAACAAGTCGGCCGTCTCCCACCGAGGCAGGGTGACCCAAAAAAGAAAGAAAATCCCCAAAAAGAAAATACTTTCATCATCATTCAACACTTTCACCACACTCGCACATTATCACTGCTTTTGAAGAGGTGCTCAGAATACAACAGTTTAGAAGCATATACGTATAAAGATACACAACATATCCCTCCAAACTGCCAATATCTTAACTAATAATATTACTGCATCATGACCCATTTGCAATAACTCACAAAGCTAGCTGAAATTTAATGCTATAGGTAGCCTTGTCCTGAAGTCACTTACTCTTGCCCCTTGCTGAGGTAATGTAACCTAACTGTATGTAATCTTCATCTCCTGTACACTTTTGATTCTACTGAAGAGGGCCTCAAAGTGAGATCAATAAAAAATATACAGTACAACACTTATCTATGCTTTTCTTGTCTCCATGTGAGTTCATTTGTGCTATACAGTGGACCCCCGGTTTACGATATTATTTCATTCCAGAAGTATGTTCAGGTGCCAGTACTGAACGAATTTGTTCCCATAAGGAATAGAATTAGATTAGTCCATTTCAGACCCCCAAACATACATGTACAAACGCACTTACATAAATACACTTACATAATTGGTCGCATTGGGAGGTGATCGTAAAGCGGGGGTCCACTGTACGTATTTGCTAATGGAAAAAAAAAAAAATTTGAAGGAAACTGTTTAACCTTTCAATTGTCCAAACGTTGATCTACGTTTTCGTGCGTAGTGCTCCAACCTTCATTTTCTCCATAAGAAAGCACGTAAAACAAAACGGAGATCTACGTTTGGAGCGCCAAGCAAGCGAACGTAGATCTATGTTTGGACAGTTTAAGGGTTAATGCAAAAATAATATTGTGAGCTTGCTATCATCTCAATGTATAAGTGTGTAGAATATTCTGTAAAATTAATAATTAGTTTTTTAGAGGTATACTGTAAATTTTGCATTTAGTATCTACAGTGGAACCTCAGTTTTCGTTTACCCTGATTTTCACTAAATTTGGTTTTCGATGACTTTTATTGTCAAAGTTTTGTCCCAGTTTTCGTTCATCACCTCAGTTTTCGTCAAACTGAGAGTGGTCTGCCATACTGAACATGTCCGCCTGCTCCCACACAAAGCATCCCACGCATTGTGAGTCAGTCGGGCTTTGTTTCTTGTCAGTAGAGGGTGGTGGTGGTGGTGTTAGAGGGTGGTAGTGATGGTGGTAGAGGATGGTAGTGATGGTGGTAGAGGGTGGTAGTGATTGTGATAAAGGGTGGTAGTGGTAGTGATTGTGGTAGAGGGTGGTAGTGATGGTGGTAAAGGGTGGTAGTGGTAGTGATTGTGGTAGAGGGTGGTAGTGATGGTGGTAAAGGGTGGTAGTGTAGTGACTGTGGTAGAGGGTGGTAATGATGGTGGTAGAGGGTGGTAGTGATGATGATAGAGGGTGGTAGTGGTTGTGATGGTGGTAGAGACAGCCTCTCCCCCCTCTCCCCTCCTCGCTGTCTTCCATACGCCAACAAGAGTCTTCAATAAAGGTAAAAGTGATGTTAAATGTTCATTTATCTATTTCATTAGTCCTTTATATTTATTTCTCATTGTTTTCTGTATGTAAAACTATAGTATTTTTTGTTAATACTTTTGGGTGTCTGGAACGGATTAATTGGATTTACATTATTTCTTATGGGAAATATAGCTTCAGTTTTCGTCGAATTCGGTTTTCGTCAGACTTTCTGGAATGAATTAATGATGAAAACTGAGGTTCCACTGTATTAAAAATTAGCAAAATAAATGGTTGCATGTTTAAAAAGAGTTGTTTCATGAATTATAAGAAACAAAAGTTGTAGATCAAAATGAAAATATCCAGATATGGTAACTGAGTTGCTGAAAGAAAGAAGCATTCAAAAAATATTAGCTAGAAATTGATATTATATTAAAGCATGTGAAGCTAATTTGACATTCACTATTAACCCACAATTTATAGAGGAAGCTCAGACTTGATAATGGTTCAGGATGGACCTTGGTGTCTTGGAGTCTCCTTTTCAAATTGTAGGTTAATGATGAAATGTTCTAGCCATGGTATTCTGACTTATTCAATCTTAGTTTGATAGTTTTGTCATATAGCTCAAACCTATCCAGTGTGTAGTACGAGAGATTACAGAGGACATACTGGGTCCAGTGATGGAGCCCCAGAAGACCCATCCTGTTGGCAGTGGTGCAGTGAAAATATTGAAGACAATGGGTCCAAGAACTGGGACTCATCTTTCTGTTAGCTAATCAACTTAAATATACTGTTGACAAAAGTAATGGATTTAGTAACAAAATTAATAGATTTGTGAGCAGCAAAAGTACTTTTTGATAAAAAGTGAGAGAGAGAGAGAGAGAGAGACACTAAATCCATTACTTGGCAAATAAAATTTGTGATATTTTTTAAAACCGATGATGTGGTCTACCACTGTAGAAGAATCTGTTTACACCAACTTACTTTTTTGCAGGATAAATGACTCTGTGCTTTACTCATCTCATGCATTAAGGGACATGAGCTACAGATACCAGAAAAAGCCAAACAAAAAAATCCTACCTTATGACAGTAATATGTTGCAGACGCAACATGACGAAATACTCTACGAGCCTCGTCCTCCGATAGAACCTTACGTTCACTTAGGTAATCATAGAGTTCTCCACCAGCTGCATATTCCATCACAAGCACCATTTTTTCCCGATTTTCAAACACTATGAATGAAGGAAAAATCTGCTATTAACAACAATTTCCAGGAGCTAATACAAAATACATCTAAGGTGTGGTATGGTACCAATCTGCCATATAGTACAATACTATACAAGTACTGTACTATAACCCACAGACACGCATTACATTTTCAGTCTTCAGGTAAAAATAATAATGTGGGATAAAGACACATGTACAAGACTCAAGACATTTATTAAGAAAATGTTTTGCCCATTACGGGGCTTTAAAAACAGGGAGGTGGTGGCAGTGTGTGCTGCATGGGTCGAGTCACACTATAACCTTATTACTATTGTTGAGATAAAATTGTCTTTGAGAGCACACCACAGATGCTGAATCCTCCTTTGTTTTCTACAACTATGTTAGATACTGCCATCATAGCTGCTTCTAAATAATGCTTTTCCTGCAGATTGTTCTGTTTTATTGACAATGAGCATTATTCCATTTCATGAATCCATGTACGTACAGTGGAACCCCGGTTACAGGCCGTTGCGGATATCGGCCGATTCGGAAATCGAGCACTTTTATTGGCAAAATTTTGCTCTGGATATCGGCCATGCTCTCAGAAACAGGCCGTATGAGACATGCCACCACTGACCGGTGACGCTCTTCCTCACGTGTATCATACTCAGTCTATGCATCTCTCTCGTTGGATTAAGAATACTTCGCGGCTTCATCCATCATGGGGCCAAAGAAAGTTCAGAGTGCCAGCCCTTTGGTAAAGAAGGTGAGAAACATGATAGAATTCAAGAAAGAACTCATAATAAACAATATAAACAACATAGAAATACAATGGAAATAAATCACTCTGACTTTTTTGGGTTATCCTAGGTTCTCTATACATATGCTGCTATATATGATGATCTATGTAACTGTATGTGAGCAAACCTAAATAAACATACTTAAAGAAACATGATATATACTATAGAAGGAATAAAATACATGCATGTTATTATATGACGAGTGTTTACAGCCAGTAGTGACATAAAATAATTACAGCGCTGAACATGTCTTCCCATTTCTTCCCTGAGGTTCTGGGATAAGAGAAAACAGTGTGTTTGTGAGGCTAACCTCAATAGATCACTAGTTTCATACAGGAACACTGAAAAAAAAGAGATTTCTTCAGTGATTAACCCTTTCAGGGTCCGTCCCGTAGATCTACGGCTTTATGTTCAGGGTCCAAACCGTAGATCTACGCCATGAGCTCAGCTCACTCTGATAAACTGTGAGTGGTACATTTGGGCCTAGATATGAGAGAATACATCTATGTGGTATGTGTGCACCACATAAAACAGATCCTGCAGCACACTGTGTATAATGAGAGAAAAAAAATTAAATCATGATTTTTCGATTAAAACAGCAACTTTGCAGTGTTTTTTCGTATGTTTTTTATAGTTGTATTTGCGATTTCTTGGTCTCATTTGATAGAATGGAAGACATATTACAGAAATAGAGATGATTTTGATTGGTTTTAGCACTGGAAATGGCTTGAAACTGAGCTCAAAGTAGCAGAAATGTTAAATTTTTGCCGATATTCAAGAGTAAACAAACGACCTCACACGTCTAATACACGTCAGCTGGTGGGTCTAATATACATTCACAAATATGGTGATGATATTTATACAATTATTACAGTATTGCATAACAGTAAATCTTCTATTTTTTGGTGTGAATAAAAATTCATTATGTGAATAAAAAATCAAAATGGAATTTATTTGTAAAGCCTCAGAACATAACTAATGAACAGAGGAAATGTTAGTTTAGTGCCAGGAATGCCTACATTGTTCATTCTGGACCCTATTTTGAAATTGGAATATTTTGAACTTTGTGTTAAATTGGCCAAATTAACAATTTCCGATCACTTTATTTTGTAGTTGAAACAGTTGACTTGGCGATTTCTTGTGCTCAATCGATAGAATAGAAGTAATACTAGTGAAATAGCTAAGAATTTGGTTGATTGGAATAATGTAATTGGCCTAAAATGGGAGTCAAAGTCAGCAAAATCGCCGATTCGTAAATATCGCTGACACATCAAAATTTGCGAGAGCATAATTTCGTCAATTTTCCACCAAATTTCGTACTTTTTGTTTTATTACCTTCACAAAAAGATTCTCTACGATTTCATAAGAAAAAATAACAAATTTTTTTTTTGAAAATTCTTGGACACTGGTGCGTGACTCCAGATTTGGGCCTTGGACCCTGAAAGGGTTAAGGACATGTGTGCAAAGTGGAGTGAGTTGCAAAGTTTTGCAGAGAATTATCACCCTAACAAAGCTGTTGCAAGCTGTGTCTGCAACATGTTCAATGACAAAACCTTGTCCCACTTCAGGGAAATCTTAGAGAGATGCCAGAAATAAGCCTCTCTGGACAGATATTTTGTGCAACAGGGGTACAGTGATTCTCAAGCTGGTCCTAGTGTCAGTAAAAGACAAAGAAAGGAAGTAACCCCAGAAAGGGCTTTGATACCTGAAGGCCTTATGGAGGGGGATTCCCCTTCCAAACAATAATCAGTCCCCCATCACTCCTCCTCGCCTTCTTCCATATGCCAACAAAAGTCTTCAATGAAAGGTATGTAATGTTCATTTATTATAAAAATTACTGCCATATTTCTTTCTCATTGTTTTGTGTATGTAAAACTATAGTTAATCTTTAAAAAATGCATTTTTTGTTAATATTTTTGGATGTCCTGGCCCTAAGCGAAACAAAGCTGAAGGGGGTAGAGGAGTTTCAGTGGGGGGAAATAAATGGGATTAAATCTGGAGTATCTGAGAGAGTTAGAGCAAAGGAAGGGGTAGCAGTAATGTTGAATGATCAGTTATGGAAGGAGAAAAGATAATATGAATGTGTAAATTCAAGAATTATGTGGATTAAAGTAAAGGTTGGATGCGAGAAGTGGGTCATAATAAGCGTGTATGCACCTGGAAAAGAGAGGAATGCAGAGGAGAGAGAGAGATTTTGGGAGATGTTAAGTGAATGTATAGGAGCCTTTGAACCAAGTGAGAGAGTAATTGTGGTAGGGGACCTGAATGCTAAAGTAGGAGAAACTTTTAGAGAGGGTGTGGTAGGTAAGTTTGGGGTGCCAGGTGTAAATGATAATGGAAGCCCTCTGATTGAACTTTGTATAGAAAGGGGTTTAGTTATAGGTAATACATATTTTAAGAAAAAGAGGATAAATAAGTATACAAGATATGATGTAGGGCAAAATGACAGTAGTTTGTTGGATTATGTATTGGTAATAAAAGACTGTTGAGTAGACTTCAGGATGTACATGTTTATAGAGGGGCCACAGATATATCAGATCACTTTCTAGTTGTAGCTACACTGAGAGTAAAAGGTAGATGGGATACAAGGAGAATAGAAGTATCAGGGAAGAGAGAGGTGAAGGTTTATAAACTAAAAGAGGAGGCAGTTAGGGTAAGATATAAACAGCTATTGGAGGATAGATGGGCTAATGAGAGCATAGGCAATGGGGTCGAAGAGGTATGGGGTAGGTTTAAAAATGTAGTGTTAGAGTGTTCAGCAGAAGTTTGTGGTTACAGGAAAGTGGGTGCGGGAGGGAAGAGGAGCGATTGGTGGAATGATGATGTAAAGAGAGTAGTAAGGGAGAAAAAGTTAGCATATGAGAAGTTTTTACAAAGTAGAAGTGATGCAAGGAGGGAAGAGTATATGGAGAAAAAGAGAGAGGTTAAGAGAGTGGTGAAGCAATGTAAAAAGAGAGCAAATGAGAGAGTGGGTGAGATGTTATCAACAAATTTTGTTGAAAATAGAAAAAGTTTTGGAGTGAGATTAACAAGTTAAGAAAGCCTAGAGAACAAATGGATTTGTCGGTTAAAAATAGGAGAGGAGAGTTATTAAATGGAGAGTTAGAGGTATTGGGAAGATGGAGGGAATATTTTAAGGAATTGTTAAATGTTGATGAAGATAGGGAAGCTGTGATTTCGTGTATAGGACAAGGAGGAATAACATCTTGTAGGAGTGAAGAAGAGCCAGTTGTGAGTGTGGGGGAAGTTCGTGAGGCAGTAGGTAAAATGAAACGGGGTAAGGCAGCCGGGATTGATGGGATAAAGATAGAAATGTTAAAAGCAGGTGGGGATATAGTTTTGGAGTGGTTGGTGCAATTATTTAATAAATGTATGGAAGAGGGTAAGGTACCTAGGGATTGGCAGAGAGCATGCATAGTTCCTTTGTACAAAGGCAAAGGGGATAAAGAGAGTGCAAAAATTATAGGGGGATAAGTCTGCTGAGTATACTGGTAAAGTGTATGGTAGAGTTATTATTGAAAGAATTAAGAGTAAGACGGAAAATAGGATAGCAGATGAACAAGGAGGCTTTAGAAAGGTAGGGGGTGTGTGGACCAGGTGTTTACAGTGAAACATATAAGTGAACAGTATTTAGATAGGCTAAAGAGGTCTTTGTGGCATTTATGGATTTGGAAAAGGCGTATGACAGGGTGGATAGGGGGGCAATGTGGCAGATGTTGCAAGTGTATGGTGTAGGAGGTAGGTTACTGAAAGCAGTGAAGAGTTTTTACAAGGATAGTGAGGCTCAAGTTAGAGTATGTAGGAAAGAGGGAAATTTTTTCCCAGTAAAAGTAGGCCTTAGACAAGGATGTGTGATGTCACCGTGGTTGTTTAATATATTTATAGATGGGGTTGTAAGAGAAGTAAATGCGAGGGTCTGGCAAGAGGCGTGGAGTTAAAAGATAAAGAATCACACACAAAGTGGGAGTTGTCACAGCTGCTCTTTGCTGATGACACTGTGCTCTTGAGAGATTCTGAAGAGAAGTTGCAGAGATTGGTGATGAATTTGGTAGGGTATGCAAAAGAAGAAAATTAAAGGTGAATACAGGAAAGAGTAAGGTTATGAGGATAACAAAAAGATTAGGGTGAAAGATTGAATATCAGATTGGAGGGAGAGATATGGAGGAGGTGAATGTATTCATATTTGGGAGTGGACGTGTCAGTGGATGGGTCTATGAAAGATGAGGTGAATCATAGAATTGATGAGGGGAAAAGAGTGAGTGGTGCACTAAGGAGTCTGTGGAGACAAGAACTTTGTCCTTGGAGGCAAAGAGGGGAATGTATGAGAGTATAGTTTTACCAACGCTCTTATATGGGTGTGAAGCATGGGTGATGAATGTTGCAGCGAGGAGAAGGCTGGAGGCAGTGGAGATGTCATGTCTGAGGGCAATGTGTGGTGTGAATATAATGCAGAGAATTCATAGTTTGGAAGTTAGGAGGAGGTGCGGGATTACCAAAACTGTTGTCCAGAGGGCTGAGGAAGGATTGTTGAGGTCGTTCGGACATGTAGAGAGAATGGAGCGAAACAGAATGACTTTAAGAGTGTATCAGTCTGTAGCGGAAGGAAGGCGGGGTAGGGGTCAGCCTAGGAAAGGTTGGAGAGAGGGGGTAAAGGAGGTTTTGTGTGCGAGGGGCTTGGACTTCCAGCAGGCATACGTGAGCGTGTTTGATAGGAGTGAATGGAGACAAATGGTTTTTAATACTTGACGTGCTGTTGGAGTGTGAGCAAAGTAACATTTATGAAGGGGTTCAGGGAAACCGGCAGGCCGGACTTGAGTCCTGGAGATGGGAAGTACAGTGCCTGCACTCTGAAGGAAGGGTGTTAATGTTGCAGTTTAAAAACTGTAGTGTAAAGCACCCTTCTGGCAAGACAGTGATGAAGTGAATGATGGTGAAAGTTTTTCTTTTTCGGGCCACCCTGCCGTGGTGGGAATCGGCCAGTGTGATAATAAAAAAATAAAATAAAAAATATTTTTGGGTGTCTGGAACGGGTTAACTGTATTTACATTATTTCTTATGAAAAAATACTGATTCGGTTTTAGGCTATTTCGGATTTAGGCCAAGCTTCTGGAATGGATTACGGCCAATAACCGGGGTTCCACTGTAAACTATGATATATCACATATGCATTGCTCTCACTGCCATGGCTGCACATATATGTATGCTATTCCAGAGTTCTAAATGTCTTGCCTATATCTACTCTACGGCACCCTCTATAAAAGATGCCATATATACCAGCTACAGTTTTGCCTGTTCTGGCTAGCCTCTTCTGATTAGGTCCTTAATATTAGGTGGTGGTGGTGGTGGAGCTTGCTGATACTTTATTTTTAGTTAGTACTCTAGAGACACTGTTAGCAATATTGCTGACAAGAGGGCATATCTATTAATGTTGCAGATGGCATGCTATGTACAATCTGAGATGAAGTAAGGAAGGAAATGTAGGCAGCCAAATACTGTACAGGCTTCCCCATGCTTTAAAATGAGGATTATCTTCATAAAAATTCACTATTGTGTGATATCCTATTTCTGTCAGTCATTCTGTATGTGCAATATATATTTGTCATATGCATAGAAAAGAGTAAGGTGATGAGGGTATCAAATGATTTATATAAAGAAAAACTGGATATCAAATTAGAGAGGAGGAGTATGAAAAAAGTGAATGTTTTCAGATATTTGGGAGTTGACGTGTCAGCGGATGGATTTATGAAGGATAAGGTTAATCATAGAATTGATGAAGGAAAAAAAGTGAGTGGTGCGCTGAGGCATATGTGGGAACAAAAAAAGTTATCTATGGAGGCAAAGAAGGGAATGTATGAAAGTATAGTGGTACTGACACTCTTACATGGGTGTGAAGCTTGGGTTGTAAATGCTGCTGCGAGTAGATGGTTGGAGGCAGTGAAAATGTCCTGTCTAAGGGTAATGTGTGGTGTAAATATTATGCAGAAAATTCGGAGTGTGGAAATTAGGTGAAGGTGTGAGTTGATAAAAGTATTAGTCAGAGGGCTGAAGAGGGGTTGTTGAGGTGGTTTGGTCATTTAGAGAGAATGGATCAAAGTAGAATGATATGGAGAGTATAAATCTGTAGGGAAAGGAAGGCGGGGTAGGGGTCGTCCTCGAAAGTGTTGGAGGGAGGGGGTAAAGGAGATTTTGTGGGAGAGGGGTTTGGACTTCCAGCAAGCATGCGTGAACGTGTTAGATAGTAGTGAATGGAGATGAATGGTATTAGGGACCTGACAAGCTGTTGGAGTGTGAGCAGGGTAATATTTAGTGAAGGGATTCAGGAAAACCGGTTATTTTTATATAGCCGGACTTGAGTCCTGGAAATGGGAAGTACAATGCCTGCACTTTAGAGGAGGGGTTTGGGATATTGGTAGTTTGGAGGGATATGTTGTGTATCTTTATACGTATATGCATCTAAACTGTTGTATTCTGAGCACCTCTGCAAAAAGTGATTATGTGTGAGTGAGGTGAACGTACTGAATGATGATGAAAGTATGTATTTTCTTTTTGGGGATTTTCTTTCTTTTTGGGTCACCCTGCTTCGGTGGGAGATGGCCGACTTGTTAAAAAAAAAAATGTGCAGTCAGTGTGGTTCGCATAATATACTGAAGATTCTTATGCAGGACTAAGTGTTCATGGCCTGATTAAACTTAGTACAGTACCATGGGCCTGGAATGTATATAAAGCACAAAATAAGGGACACCTACTTGAGTAGTCACATTCCTCTTCAAGAGCTGTGGACTGGCAATTCTGTATGCTCTCGAGAAGCATACACATACATCTCATGAAATGAAATGAAGTTAGTCTGTTAATAAAAGAGGACAACCTACAGAGGTAACATTGTTCAGAAGCAGCCATTACAGCAGTATTTAATATAATCATGCAAATCCTAGGGAATTCATCATCTCTGGTTTATTTGCAAAAATAATCTTGCTTCAAGAGTATACTGCAGTCAAGTGACAACATGGCCTCACCCATGCACCTCACACTACCACCACAACCTAACTTGAACTTTTTGACTCGCCTAACTTGACCTCTCTCTACTATTTAACCCTCTAACTGTCCAAACGTATATCTACGTTTGTGCGCGTAGTGCTCCACCCTTGATTTTCTCCATAAGAATGTAAAAAAACATAGATCTACATTCGGAGCGCTACACGAGGAAACGTAGATTTATGTTTGGACAGTTTAAGGGTTAAGCCCTCTTTTTGGTAAACTTAGTATAGGATTAACAAAGCCCCTAGGTTAAGTTAGGTAAGGTTCGTCAGGAAACAGGACAAGTGTTTCCTGATTTGGGTCTTAGTCATATGATGACCTGCCATTGGAGGTTTTGGTCATCTGACTGAGGCCTTCCGCTGGCATACCAGTCCACCCCCTTTAAAAATTATGGTCACATTTATAACCATTTAGCCCCTAGTGGGCCAAAAGTTTACTTGCTAAATGTCCTAAGCATTGCATGTTTCTTTACCTCCACAGTCTGTTGATACTGGTATACCTAGTTTTCAAAAAGAAATATGTATACTGCAATGCAATTTTCATACAATAAAAAGTTTAAATTGCTGTATATATAAGGATATTCAAGTATAGCTCAATTTTAAATATAATTGGACAAATTCAGATTTAAAAAAGAAAAGCACTGGTTTGGCTACAGAATTGTAGAGAAGTGGAACAAACTGCAATATCTGGACAGTTACACGAGTGAGAATAGTTGGGTGAGAGCTGGATGTGCATATTATGGGTCGGTAGGGCTACTGTGGTGTTCTTCTATTATTGATTTTATGATCTTATCAAGAATTACAAAGTTGGTTTTGAAGTGTTGAAGATGTTGAGAAGTCTTATATGTTTGATTAAAGGTGAGGAAAGTGATGAGTATTTTGATTGAGAGCATAGGCAAAAAAATTTGCTATCGTTCCATCCCTATTTGGAGAGTACCTGGAGGTCATTGTGGAATGCATCATGAGTGAGATTTCCCTAACATACAATAGCCCTATTGCAGTGCTACTCTATTCTTGTATTTTTCTCTATATGGATTGCAATTTATAGATTTTAAACTTACAGAAATGCAGGTATTACCCATGAATACACATATAGCCCACAAACAAGGAGACTGGAACTTATGACAATGTTTTGGTATGACTTGTACCATTAACTAATCACACTTGTCAGTTATTTGTGCATTGTTCCAGTCATGGTATTGTGCCTATTTATTCTTTTTATTACCAATGAATAATTCGACCCTCTAAGTTTTGCCCTCCAAGTTATCCTCATAACATTGAGCTATACTCAAGTAAATATGGTAATATTTTTTCTACTGGAAAATACAGTATAGTACAGTACAGTAATTTTTTTTTCAAGAAACCAGCAGTATCCCACCAAGGCAGGGTGATCTAAAAAGAAAAATTAAAGTTTTTTTTTTTAAATTTAGTAATTTATACAGGAAAAGGGGTTACTGTAGAGTATATAGTAATTAAAATGATAACCGATTTATTTTTACCTTCATATATATGGATAATCTGTGGGTGCTGGACTGAAGACATAATTTGAATCTCTCTCCTTATACGTATCAAATCCTGCTCTGTCTCAATTTTGGCCTTTTTGATGGTCTTGATTGCAACCTGAAAGAAAAAAAAATATTTGATGTGAAGAAAAATAATGGTATGCTCAACCTTCCAAAAATTTGAATTTTCTGGTAAATGCATCCCTGCTCTAACCATCCTGGATGATGTTACTGTCCTGTCTTATGAATGTTTTTTATAATAATAATCTTTATTTATACAAGTATGTCCATGATACAACTTATACAGACCTAGCTGACATCAATAGAAATCCCCTGGTTATGCAGAGTATTTCAGGCAGCATAGGTTAATCATGTCCCCCAGGATGCAACCCACACCAGTTGGCTAACACCCAGGTACCTACTTGCTGCTAGGTGAACAGAGATAGAAGGTATAAGGAAGCACACCAAATGTTTCCATCCAAACCTGGGATTGAACCACTGTGAAATGAAAGCCTGCTATAACTTTACCATCTCATGAACCTTTAAGATATTTAGTAAATCTTACATAGTTCTATTGACATTCCACATACAATTTTATCTTTACTTTCCCAGTGTTTCTTAATATTTCTTGGTGCTATAAAACAGTAGTATTTCCTTAGCAATTAAGGAGAGCTGGTCTGAGACTGGGATCTGGGGGAGGGTAATGATTCCTAGAACTGGCCTAATGGCTGTCAGTAACACTATCAACCAAAAATCCAGTAGCTACACTATCTCCAGATTGCTAATCAACAGGATATTACCCATTCTGGAGACTGCTGTAACATGATGTCAACAGGACCTTCTCCAATCCAACCCATCTCACCACAATTACTACCACAACTACTACCTCAACTAGTGCTACCCATGCAACATTTCACCTGACTCCTGCCACTTTATATACTCATTTTCTTAGTTATCTCTGTATTAGGACTGAAGAAGCCACTCGTGGCAAAACATTTCCTTTAATAAGTGTCCTGAACTATATTTACATAAGAGTCTTCTTCTTCATCATTCCTAGAGCGTTATTAACATACAATATATAATAGATTTCTTCTTTTCTTTCAATGCACCAGCCGTATCCCACCAAAGTAGGATGGCCCAAAAGAAAACCAAAAGTCTCTCTTTTTAATTTTAGTAAATGTATACAGGAGAAGTGTGACTAGCCCGTTACTCCAGGCATGTTAGTTGCCTCTTACAACACACATGGCTTATGGAGGAAGAATTCTGTTCCACTTCCTCATGGAGATAAGAGGAAATAAACAAGAACAAGGACTAGTGAGAAAACAAAAGAAAACACAGAGGGGTGTGTATATATACATGCTTGTACATGCATGTGTAGTGTGACCTAAGTGTAAGTAGAAGTAGCAAGACGTACCTGAAATTTTGCATGCTTCTGAAACAGAAAAAAGACACCAGCAATCCTACTACAGTATAATGTAAAACAATTACAGGCTTTCATTTTACACTCACTTGCCAGGACATTGGTACAGTACCTCCCTGGGCGGTTGCTGTCTACCAACCTACTACCTAGGGTATAACTTTTTTTTTTTTTCAACAAACCAGCCATATACCACCGAGGCAGGGTGGCCCAAAAAGAAAACCGAAAGTCTCTCTTTTTAAATTTAGTAATTTAAACAAGAGAAGGGGTTACTAGCCCCTTGCCCCCGGCATTTTAGTTGCCTCTTACAACACGCATGGCTTACGGAGGAAAAATTCTGTTCCACTTCCCTCTGGAAATAAGAGGAAATAAACAAGAACAAGAACTAGAAAGAAAATAGCAGAAAACCCAGAGGGGTGTGTATATATATGCTTGTACATGTATGTGTAGTGTGACCTAAGTGTAAGTAGAAGTAGCAAGACGTACCTGAAATCTTGCATGTTTATAAGACAGAAAAAAGACCAGCAATCCTACCATCATGTAAAACAATTACAGGTTTCTGTTTTACACTCACTTGGCAGGACAATAGTACCTCCCTTGGCGGCTGCTGTCTACCAACCTACTACCTAGGGTATAACATTTTTTATTTTTCAAGAAACCGGCCATATCCCACCAAGGAAGGGTGGCCCAAAAAGAAAAACAAAAGTTTCTCTTTTTAAATTTAGTAATTTATACGGGAGAAGGGGTTACTAGCCCCTTGCTCCCGGCATTTTAGTCGCCTCTTACAACACGCATGGCTTACGGAGGAAGAATTCTGTTCCACTTCCCCATGGAGATCAGAGAAAATAAACAAGAACAAGAACTAGAAAGAAAATAGAAGAAAACCCAGAGGGGTATGTATGTATATACAGTGGACCCCCGCATAACGATTACCTCCGAATGCGACCAATTATGTAAGTGTATTTATGTAAGTGCGTTTGTTCGTGTATGTTTGGTGGTCTGAAATGGACTAATCTACTTCACAATATTTCTTATGGGAACAAATTCGGTCAGTACTGGCACCTGAACATACTTCTGGAGTGAAAAAATAACCGGGGGTCCACTGTATATGCTTGTACATGTATGTGTAGTGTGACCTAAGTGTAAGTAGAAGTAGCATGATGTACCTGAAATCTTGTATGTTTATGAGACAGAAAAATGGACACCAGCACTCCTACCATCATGTAAAACAATTACAGGTTTCCATTTTACACTCACTTGGCAGGACAGTAGTACCTCCCTGGGCAGTTGTTTTCTACCAACCTACTACCTAGGATATAACATATTTATATATATAAAATAAGTTCTTCTGAAGCATTAAACCTGCAGGGGGCCATACTAGGCCTGGGGAATGGGAGGTACAGCAATCAGATTTAATCCAAGGAAGAGCAGTTCCACTTTCTTGGATGAAGAGCTGCTTGCCAACACCAAGCCCCCCCCCCTTTCAAGGGTAAGAGAAATTTTTGTAAAGCAGGTAAGGAACAGAGACTGAATACAATTAAGAGATTCATACACAGATAGAAACAAAGAAATTAAAATCATGAAAGAACAGCATGAATCAATGTTTAGCAATCCAGTCAACACCATGAGAACTGAAGACTCAGATAATTTCCCCACTAACTCTCCCTACAGTACGAATTACATAGCCAACATCAGCACAAATTTTTCACATATCAATGCATTTTATTTCCAAAACCAGGAGGAGAAAACTTGTATCTTAAGAGGGAAATACTTGAGTGAAACCTGACGTTGTAAATCATGTCTTAATTATTATTTTTTTTTTATTAACACACTGGCCGATTCCAACCAAGGCAGGGTGACCCGAAAAAGAAAAACTTTCACCATCATTCACTCCATCACTGTCTTGCCAGAAGGGTGCTTTACACTACAGTTTTTAAACTGCAACATTAATACCCCTCCTTCAGAGTGCAGGCACTGTACTTCCCATCTCCAGGACTCAAGTCCGGCCTGCCGGTTTCCCTGAATCCCTTCATAAATGTTTCTTTGCTCACACTCCAACAGCACGTCAAGTATTAAAAACCATTTGTCTCCATTCACTCCTATCAAATACGCTCATGCATGCCCGCTGGAAGTCCAAGCCCCTCGCACACAAAACCTTCTTTACCCCCTCCCTCCAACCTTTCCTAGGCCGACCCCTACCCCGCCTTCCTTCCACTACAGACTGATACACTCTTGAAGTCATTCTGTTTCGCTCCATTCTCTCTACATGTCCGAACCACCTCAACAACCCTTCCTCAGCCCTCTGGACAACAGTTTTGGTAATCCCGCACCTCCTCCTAACTTCCAAACTATGAATTCTCTGCATTATATTCACACCACACATTGCCCTCAGACATGACATCTCCACTGCCTCCAGCCTTCTCCTCGCTGCAACATTCATCGCCCATGCTTCATACCCATATAAGAGCGTTGGTAAAACTATACTCTCATACATTCCCCTCTTTGCCTCCAAGGACAAAGTTCTTTGTCTCCACAGACTCCTAAGTGCACCGCTCACCCTTTTCCCCTCATCAATTCTATGATTCACCTCATCTTTCATAGACCCATCTGCTGACACGTCCACTCCCAAATATCTGAATACATTCACCTCCTCCATACTCTCTCCCTCCAATCTGATATCCAATCTTTCATCACCTAATCTTTTTGTTATCCTCATAACCTAACTCTTTCCTGTATTCACTTTTAATTTTCTTCTTTTGCATACCCTACCAAATTCATCCACCAACCTCTGCAACTTCTCTTCAGAATCTCCCAAGAGCACAGTGTCATCAGCAAAGAGCAACTGTGACAACTCCCACTTTATGTGTGATTCTTTATCTTTTAACTCCACGCCTCTTGCCAAGACCCTCACAAAATATGGTTACATATGCTGAAGTGATTGTAGAAATTCAAGTTTTAAAATACCCAGATCTATTTCTTTCAAATTTCATTTGGTAAATCTGGTGAATACATGGCACAAAATTAGTAATTAAGAACATAAGAATGGAGTAGCAATGCAGAAGGCCTACTGCCCCATACAAGGCAGGTCCTTATCAAAACCACCACTACCCAAAGCTACCCAAGAATTTACTCCCGTTCCCATGATGCCAATCAAACCCAGCCCCTCCCACTCATACATTTGTCCAAGGTCTTAGCGTCTATCACCCTACTCGGAAGATTGTTCCACGCATCCACAACTCTTTTTGAGAACCAGTACTTACCTATGTCCTTTCTAAATCTACATTTATCTAACTAAATCTGTTATTTCTGGTTCTTTGCTGGTTTGACATCCTCAGTACTTTATTAATATCACCTTTGTTTGTGCCCATCATCCACTTATACACTTTGATGATATCTCCCCTCATTCTACATCTCTCCAGAGAGTGAAGATTCAAGGCTCTAAGTCTATCTTCACATGGGACATTCCTTATACAGTACATCATTTTAGTCATTCTTCTCTTTATGTTCTCCAATGAATCTATATCCATCCCGTAGTAAGAAGACCAAAACTGAGTGGCATAATCCAAATGAGGCCTCACTAGTGATGTACAGAGATGTAAAATAACTTTTGGACTTTTGTTACTTATACAGTGGAACTCCAGCTTTCGTACAGTTTGAATATCGTACAATTCGGATTTAAAAAACTTTTTTGTGTGAAATTTTGGTCCACAACTGAGGAAACTGCTTCAAAGGAGGAAGAAGAGAGGGAAGAAGGTGCTTTCTTCATTGATTAAGGACATTTGTGCAAAGTGGAATGAGGTGCAAACTTTTGTTGAAAAATATCACCCTGAAAAAGCTGATACAAGCCACATCTGCAACATGTTCAGTGACACTACCTTGTCCCATTTTAGGCAAATCTTAAAGAGATGACAGAAACAGAGCTCTCTGTGGACAGATTTTTTAGTGCGAGAGGGGTCCAGTGCCAGTAAAAGACAAAGAAGAGAAGTAACCCCAGAGAGGGCTTTGATACCTGAAGTTCTTATGGAGGGGGATTCCCCTTCCCAACAATAACCTCAACTCCCTCTCCCCTCCTTGCCTTCTTCGATACGCCAACAAGTCTTCAATAAAGGTATGTAATGTTCGTTTATCATTAAAATTAGTCATTTATATTTATTTCTCATTGTTTTCTGTATGTAAAACTAGTTATTCATTAAAGAAATATAATTTCTGTTAATATTTTTGGGTCGCTGGAATGGATTAATTGTATTTACATTATTTCTTATGGGAAATATTACTTCAGTTTTTGTACAGTTCGGATTTAGACTGACCTTCTGGAACGGATTAAGTACAAAATCCAGGGTTTCACTGTACTTGAAATAAATCCTAGTAATCTGTTAGCCTTATTGTGCATACTTAGGCACTGCTGTCTTGGCTTTAGATTTCTGCTTACCATGACTCCCAAGTCCCTTTCACATTCTGTATGATTAAGCTGTACTTCACCAAGTTTTAATTTTAATTTTATACATGCCCTATATTTTGCATTTAAACACGGGAGCAAACTGCCAAAAAGTATCATTAGAGCGAATACTTTTGCTTTTCTATAACAGCTGAGACAAATACATGAGTGGGAATGGTCAGGCATGGATAGTACCTGCCTAGCCAGATTTCCTTGATTATTGCCTGGCGAATCAGGATATTGCTGCCAGCAACCCACAGACCTATAGTCACCACAACCTGGCTGAACAGACATTTGAAGCAGATGATGGTCATTTCCTCTAGATAATGTCCACCTTGCCAATAAATACATACTGTATTTTGTGTCTCATAATGCTCGGTGAGGCCAGTGATTTCATACTGTACTGTTGTCACATGCAGGGCTGGATTTAGAGATAAGCTAACAAAGTACAGCTTAGGACCACAGTCTGAAGGGGCTTCTCAAAATTTCATAACTTAATTTTCATTTGCTTATGCCTAAATCTTATTCTGAACCCATTTCTGATATGCACTTCTTACATTAATAATCAACAATTATAAAATTTTCTCTATAAAATTTATTATATGATTTAACAAGCTGTTACAATAATCACACCAAATGCAGTAACTCTCCCACCCCTGTACAGGTTTGTTATACATCATGGCAGCAGTCTTACCATGTTCAGTTGTCACACAGCCTTATCGTCTGTTAACACTTGCTAAATAGGATCTCTACAGCTTTCCATAGCTTAAGGCCTCACATTCTCTAAATCTAGCTCAGGCAAGGTTCTCGGCTACTGCTATAAAGTGAAAAATCCCTCTAAAGTGAAACAGCTTTTTTTCTTTTCACTTTCAGATATACACTGTATATACATATATTAAAGCCTGATAACACGTTTACACTATCATATACTACTGTATTAAATGAGCAATATAGCTAGGCCTAAACATTGCATATACAGTACATACATTATTTACCTTAAAATATTTTCATCCTCAGTTTATATTGTAGGAAGTCTGAATAAATTAAGAATGGGTATAATTGAAAACCACTGCATTAGCAAAACCCTGTAAAGCAAAGTGCTGTAAAGTGAGGCCTGCCTGTATACCACAAGGTACTCTACATGCCTGATACCCCTGCACCAATCACTCTCTAAATAACCATTACATCTTACCTCTTGCCCTGTTTCTTTGTTTACTGCCAACTGTACTTTGCCGTATGTTCCCTGGCCCAGCTTCCGAATTATATCAAATCTGAAAAGACAGATTACCATTCAGTGGTATGTTAATTAAGTTAATTTTTATCAAAATCACCAATTAAGGTGTCCATATTTACTTCATTTAGGTTTTAAGATTTAGCAAGACTAACTGAGAAAGCAGCATTATTTCTAGGAGACAACAGTAATTAATATAAAAATAATCTGGGTATGCATCATTATTAAACATGGGGAGGTAGTATTTACATAACATTACACACTGAAATGTTGGTCGGTAGACATCTACTATTCCTGTCAACAAATGTGAAATGGAAGCTTGTTAGGTACGTATTTTGCATTGCAAGGATTGCTGGTCTTTTATTTGCCAACGTACGAAATACAAGATTTATCATTCATTGCATATACACTGAGAGGTCTGTTTCTCATGTATATGCTCCATTTTAGGGATTAAAGCATTCTTGGCTGGTAGTGTGCAGATGAAATGCAACCATAGACCCTAGTGCAGCTGACAGGTTTGAAATCCAAGAGGTCAACTATCTTGAACATGAGAACATTACCCAGGATGTGCCTGCAATGATGGATGCAGCAAAATTCTTATATATTACAAGTTCGATTGTGACATTAGAATCATTGACAAAGGTAGTCTTAACATACAGTAGTTTTGATTTTTTTTTTTATGAATACATTGGCCATTTCCCACTGAAGTGGGGTGACCTAAAAAAGAAGAAACACTTTCATCACTCACTCCATCACTGCCTTGCCACAGGAGTGTTGATACTATACGTACTTAAATTATTATTATTATAATGGGGGAGCGCTAAACCCATAGGGATTATACAGTGCATGTGGGAGGGGGGATGGAAAGTATTCAGACTCAATTCAGGGAACTGGAGCACAGATCCAATTCCCTAGATCAAGAGCCCCCTCACCAGCATCAAGGAACCTCCCTTGAGGGAAACTTAAAAAACTGCAACATATCTCCAAGTACAAGGGGGATTACCAACAGACCCCTGGCAGTCTTCAAGCTGGCACTGGACAAGCACCTAAAGTCAGTTCCTGATCAGCCGGGCTGTGGCTCGTACGTTGGTTTGCGTGCAGCCAGCAGCAACAGCCTGGTTGATCAGGCGCTGATCCACCAGGAGGCCTGGTCACAGACCGGGCCGCGGGGGCGTTGACCCCCGAAACTCTCTCCAGGTAAACTCCAGGTAAACAAGTAACATTTTACAGAAATGCTGACTGTCATATTTTTCCCAGTTTATCTGCTGATACACACACAAAAAATAGGTACAAAAGAATACTGCAATTAGTAAGAAATAGAAGAATGATGCAGAACAACCTTTTTTTATGACAACTTTTCACTCAACAGCAAAATGCTGTCACCATGAAAACTTATCCTGTACTTTTGTCTTTTCTTAAAAAAAAAAAAACTATAAATGATGAGACCTATACAAGAGACTGGTTATAATGGCCAGCTGTATATGGAAGTGGGGCCAGTTCTCCCTGAACCTCTGTGAAAGCTTGATCCTTGTTGTTAGTTTGAGGTGGATTGTGGCCTAAAGAACACTCGTATAGTTTATGGGACTTAATAACACTCGTGGGAGTGCTAAATCCGTAATGATCACAGTGCCTGGGGAAATGGAAAGTGTTCAGGTTTGATTTAATGGAAGCACAGATCAAATGCTTTACATCAAGAGCCTCTCACTGGCATCAAGGTACCTCTCTAGAGGGACGCATAACCTCAGTCTACCCAAACAATCTACCCTAATTTTACAGTTTTTTTTTTTTTTTTTACAAAATTCCTAGCATCAGTTTACAAGCATTCCCTGCAATTATAAAATATTTTTGTCTTGATATTATGGTAGATGTTACATAACCCTATAATTTAATTTAATTAGGGTAAGTGCCAAACCCATAGGGGTTATACAGTGCCTACCTACCTGGAGGGAATTCCGGGGATCAACGTCCCCGCGGCCCGGTCCACGACCAGGCCTCCCGGTGTATCAGGGCCTGATCAACGAGGCTGTTACTGCTGGCCGCACGTAATCCAACGTACGAACCACAGCCCGGCTGATCCGGCACCATCTTTAGGTATCTGTCCAGCTCCCTCTTGAAGACAACCAGGGGTCTTCCCGTAATGCCCCTTATTGCTGGTGGGAGGCTGTTGAACAGTCTTGGGCCCTGGACACTTATTGTGTTTTCTCTTAGTGTACCAGTGATGCCCCTACTTTTCACTGGGGGTATGTTGCATTGCCTGCCAAGTCTTTTGCTTTCATATGGAGTGATTGCTGTGTGCATATTAGGGACCAGTCCCTCCAGAATCTTCCAGGTATAGATTATGATATATCTCTCTCGCCTGCGCTCTAGGGGAGTACAAGTCAAGTGCTTCCAGGCGCTCCAGTACTTAAGGTGTTTTGAGGGAAACTTATAGTGCAGTAAAGGTTCTCTGTACATTCTCTAGTTTCTGCAATTTCACTGCCTTGAATGGGGATGTTAAAGTACAGCAGTATTCCAAACCTTTGAAAGAATAAGTGATTTAAAAAAAGGGTCATCATTGGCTTAGCATCTCTTGTCTTGAAGTTCTCATTATCCATCCTATCAGTTTCCTAGCAGATGTGATAGTGGCATTGTTGTGATCCTTGAAGGCGAGATCCTCTGACATTACCACTCCCAGGTCTCTCACATTACTTTTCCTCTCTATTGTGTGATTGGAGTTTGTAGTATACTCAGTTCTAGTTATTATTTTCCCCAGTTTTCCATAACGGAGTAGTTGGAATTTGTCTTCATTGAACATCATATTTCTCTCTGTGCCCATTGTAAAATTTGGTTTATATCTTCTTGGAGGTTACAGTGTCCCCAATGGATGACACTCTCATGCAGATCCTAGTATCGTCTGCAAAAGATGATACAGCGCTGTGGGGTTTAAAATCTGTCTATGTCTGATATGAGAATAAGGAACAGGATAGGTGGGGAGTACTGTGCCCTTTTGGGACAGAGCTCTTCACTTGGCAGCATTGATTTAACTCTGTTTACCATACTTTGTGTGCGATTGGTTAGAAAGTTTAAGATCCCTTGCCTACTTTGCCGGGTATCCCTTTAGCACGCATTTTGTGTGCTATTACACCATGGTGCACTTGTCAAAGGCTTTTGAAAAGTCTGTGTATACTAATCCCCATTCTGTTTGTTTTCCAGTGCATCTAGGACCATATCATAGTAGTTAGCAGTTGCGAAAGGCAGGAGCGACCTGCTTGAAACCATGTTGCCCTGGGTTGTGCAATTTTTGGGAGTCTAGGGGGTTTGCTATCCTACTTCTTCGAACTCTTTCAAGATTTTATGATGTGGGACGTTAAAGCTATTGGTCTATAGTTCTTAGCTACTGCTTTTCTGCCACTTATGGAGTGGGGCTATATCTGTTGTTTTTAGTGGGCTGTGGAATCTTGCCTGTGTCTAAGCTCCTTCTCCCTAGATACTTTAGGGCCCGTGAGAGGGGTTTTCTTGCAGTTTTTTAAAGAACACTGAGTTCCACGAGTCGGGCCTGGGGGTGAGTGCATGGGCATGTCGTCGATGGCTTTCTCAAAGTCTAGTGGAGTTAGAGTTATGTCATAAATCTGGCCCAATTTGGGAGGGTTTGAGGCTCATTCATGAAAAAAATTGTTTGGATCATCCATCTTTAAACTGGTTTGGGTCACTGACACTGGTCATACTGCAATTTCAGATCTCGCTCTTTCTTTGTTGTCGTCAGTGGGGGATCCTTTTTCTGAGCAGGGGCCCTACAAAATTGTTTTTGCTTTTTTTTGGGCATATGAAAAAAAAATATTTCGAATTTTTTTTCTTTTCATTAATCGCTTTTAGCTCCTCTTGTCTCTCCTGGATCCTGTATGAGTCCTTTAAATTCACTCAAAAATTTTCCCCTTCCCTGGTTTGCATACCCTTCCCCGGGATAGTAATCTGGCTTCTTGAGGGGTTTAATGATTCTTCGTCTTCTCTTAAGGGGGCGTCTCTCTCTCTCTCTCTCCTCTCTCCTCTCTCTCCCCTCCTCTCTCTCCTCCTCCTCTCTCTCTCTCTCTCTCTCTCTCTCCAGTTTACTTCTTTTTTCTTTTTGTCTTAAAGGAATATACTTGAACAAATTCCTACCAGGGGGGTGGGGAAAGGTGGGGATGGGTTCAATCCAAGGAAGGAGAGGATAATCCAGTTCCTTTAATCAAGAGCCCGATAAACTTACAAAAACGAAACACTGAAACACAAGCAAATTAAAAAAAGGCCCATAATGGGGGAACACAGTGTCTTGGCAAGCCCAATGATGTTCAAAAATGTAGAAACTCAGTTTTTGGGAAAAAATGAGGACCCGAGTTAAATTAACTTCTTAAAACAGGCGAGAGCTTGGTAGGGCCTTCAGTGTAAGAACTAAGCACCTCCAAGACGAGGACGACTGCCACCCAGGTTACACTCAAGGTCACTGTATATCCAAATTTATTCTGGACTGTGGAGTGAGCAGGTGCCTGTTAGCCTAACATCAGGAGTAGATCTATTATAAAACTAATGAAGCTTAAGCTTCAGGGGCCCCTAATCCCAGGATTGAGGGCTCTGTCACTTCTGCCCCCCCCCCAGGGTCTCCAGAAGCTACTTCAGTCCATAATGCTTAAATATTTTGGGTCTACCGTATTAAAAGGACCCCATAACAGTTCAAGCTTCAGGGCTCCATAACAGTTCAAGCTTCAGGGTCCCAAAAATGTAATATAATATCTTTATTTCTACTAGTACATGTACAAGATATACAGGCCTAGCTGACATCAATGACATACTACTATATAGAAAGCCCCTTGTTATGCTGAACATTTCGGGCAAATTAAGTAAAGTTTGTCCCAGGATGCGACCCACACCATTCGACTAACACCCAGGTACCCATTTTTTACTGATGGGTGAACACGGACAACAGGTGTAAGGAAATATACCCAATGTTTCCACCCTTGCCTGGAACTGAACCCGGACCCTCAGCATGTGAAGCAAGAGCTAAGCCACCAGACCACGGGCCACCGATCC